TTGAGGGCCATTATCTATACACAACGCATTTGACAATCCGTAAATGGCCGAAAGTAGAACGCAGCTTGTTTATGGTGGACTCTAAGTTGGCGTTCTGTACCATTTTGGGGTATATCCATCTTGAGTAACACATCAATGAACAGCAATACCATATTTCCTTCAACAGGTCTGAATTCCTTCTCGTGATCGGGCTAGCATGAGCCATCGATTAGTGCTGTCATGTTTTTTTTTTGCTTCCTTAAATTGTTACAATGTTACAATTTTCAGGAAGGGGGAAGCGGCCAATCAAAGAGCTGCCATAGAACACCATAAATGGTGAAAGTCAGGCGGTGGTGGTGGGATTCGAACATTCGTCCTCCGGGGTGATAATTTGGTGACGTTACCACAGGGCCACCACCACTGGTATTTTTGACGTGAGCCGTAAAAACCTCACCAGAATAGATCCATATTCTTAGTTTATCTGAGGCCCCCAAATGTAGGAGGTCCCAGCTGGGACCTTTTTCCGCATAACACCCTTGAGTGCGCGCCATGCAACCCATCCATTTATCTACTTCTACTCATTCGTACACTATTGGATTAAGTCTTTGTAGCAGTTTGACGAGTACGTGATGGGGACTCTAGGGGACGGAGCTAACTATCAGATTCTGCGTGCCCATGTACGACCTGTGGTCGTGGTGTCGTAGTGCTGTTACATAAATGTGACAAGGGATTTGTAAATCACACGACTTCATCTTGTGCGCGTTGAAAACCTTGAATTCGCGTTTTGATTGGGAGTGAATGTTTACAACGCATGTTCCTTGTTCTACTCCACTATTCTATCCGTTCACTCGGACGTGTACTGTGTGTATCTGCTCGATTGTCATCGCAAGCTTACTGAGACCAATAGATGCTTAGCTGTCACAAAGGCTCTGGGCTCCTCAACATACCACTTTCAGTTAACTCACTTGTTGAACCAATTATAAAGAGGGGAACGAGAGAATAGCTTAAACGTTAGACTAAAAACGACGGTATTGGGACCGAATTCCCATAAATCATTGTAGTTCTCTCTTTCTTATTGTGCGGTTTATTCTACACACTGGTCTAAATTTGTCCGGTGGAGGTTGTAGCCCATCCTCCGAGTGAGTCGATAACCCACGTATCAGCTTTAATCTGCTTAACATATGCACCTAACCTTATTCTTTAACTGTAATCCTTGCATAGACTGAAAAACTGCTAAACGAGTTCAAGTGTCTCCAGACGCTCCTAATGCATTCGACCGTTGATGATTAAGTCATCCAAACATTCTTCAGACATCTCCCTCTGGGTTTTTGATGATCCCCGTAAAACTACCTGGAGCTGAAATAATAGCAAACTGTAACCTGTTGTAGTTGTCAAGGCATTTATGCCTGCTGACAATAGTGACGTTTTGAGAAAGCTCATAAAGTTCTACTTGAGGGTGGATCTGAATTAAATCAGGTTCATAAAATTTGTTCCCTCGTTCCAGGGTGACACGTGAATTCCCAATCGCTCAAGGATGGATAATGACAGATACGAAGTTACTGGTTAACCGAATGTTTGTCCGCACCGCAATATTTCCACTACATGCCATCCGGTCTCAATGTCAGAGTGATCGGGATTATCCATCCTGAATGGTTTAGTTGCACCGTTGTTTCCTACCTCACGGGAAGCAATTTGTATGTGAATGTAAAGGGCTAAATTTGGATACATTCAAAGTGAGCTTTTGCTCTGAAGTCCTTCCGATTTACTCGCCACTGCCCCTACCGGGTTGCGAGAGCAATATATTTTTTTTCTAAATTTAGCTTAAACCTATGTAAAGCTAAAAATTTTCCCTATAACCAAAAATAGTATGTACATGGGCGACGTTCATTAGCAAAATCTTTTTATCTCCGAGTGGATCTTTTAGTTCACGTTCGGTTGATAAGACATGCTCATTGATACCGCATAAAATAAAAACGAATAAACAAACAAACAAAAATAATCATTTAATCATAATTGGCATCATAGTTAGATTGAGGATGTTTTTGTGGAAGCAAAACAGCAAGTTAGGCGAATGTCTGAACTGTTTGGTACTAATACAGGCTGATAACCGACGGTGTCACATGCTCGAGTGTTATTGTCATTTGTGGTTTTCTGGTTCTGGGTGTGTCTTGTACAGGTGTTGACCAAACTCGTGCAACATCACCCTCATTTTGAAAACCCATTTCAGCTTGAAATAGCATACTTATATATAGATGGTTATGCGTACAGTGTATTTATTCCTGACTTTATCTCCAACATCTAAGTTATTAGTTCATTTCTATCACCATTTGAATGTGCGCGACCTTGAGTGTCGCTATAAAATTTGCAGTAGTTCGAAAGTTACTGCTCTGATTTAGAAAATATTTTGAGCAAATTAGCATGGGTGTTTATTCTTTTTAATAGATGATTCGTGTCCTATGAGAGTTTCTATTAGGTTGAGCACACGCATTCTAAATTTCTATTCCACCCTAAAGAGACTGCCTCCAGTGCTCAAAATTGAAGAGGAGCAAATGGAACATGGACGAGATGAAAGTGCAATACCTGTATAAAGTCTGAGTCATTTTAATAAATAAATTACAGTTAAGTTTTCTACTGTGACCTTGTTATCTTACAACTGATGCATTTGCAAAAATCGTTGAAATCGCGAAATTGTACAATTTAATGGCATGTGGCTAATAGAAGTAGTGACACAAGTGGATATTATATCAGATATGTTGCATCTGATGTGGGGCAATATCATATTCAATCCCGTCAATGAGGCTGGAAGAATAAAGCATGGAGAGGAACAAATGTAGTGAAAATCAGGATGTTGCACGAGTTTGGTCAGTACCTGTATACGTGGTGTAGCGGGTATCGGTTGCATAGACCGTTTGCCCCTCCCCCCCAGCCCGCTCTGTTCACCCGTTCCTACATCAATTCCAACAAGAGTATCAACATCTTATTCTGATCTTGTTAGCTAGGCCCAAAGAGCGTTTGGTTGTGCTGAAACCGGGGTTGTGCTGAGGTGATATGTTACTGCACATTCGTTTGTTAAACATTTTCTCTTCTCATTTGAACTCGACTAGAGTGCAGGAAATCCCGTGGTACCTTTGGGAGACGGAGGGACAGTTTTCTTCTTAGCTTAAACTGTGGTTATTATCCCTCTTTTTCATTCGTGTAAATTCGTGTAAATTGGAAATCTTGAGGAACAGATTCAGTCGCCTGTTGAATTTTTATACACACATTCCCGACGCGCCTTAGCAAATGCCAAACTGGTTGACTAATTCACGTGCAATTTATTGTTTAACTGTTAATCATGATCACCCCAATTTATGACGTATGAATGAGCATTTGGATTTAGCGTCATGTTTGTCGCGGTTAAATGTGAACTACGTTATTATGGTTAAATTAGAAAATCAGAAATTATTTTAATCTTGACTATATTGCTCATGGTTTCAATAGATCGTTTGAGTTAACAAGTATTCGACCCAAAGTACTGTCCGATTTACTAAACAATACCCACACTTGTTTCCGATGCATCGCTCACTAGCCAAATACGACACTCTTTTGTGGGCCACCAAATTACATGAGTCAGGAAAACAGAAAAAGGTGAATTACTTTTGTGTGCTTTATAATTTGACAGATCAATACAATGTCACAGTATAAACATGCATGTACCTGTACGCGTCTGAGAATGAACTTACGGATGCGATTGTTTTTCTAATGGTCAAATGGGCGTTTCCCGAGTATGGTGATAATAATAATGTTGATAATAATAATAATAATAATAATAATAATAATAATAATAATAATAATAATAACGGTAGTCAGGATAATGATTAAGATGGTGGTGACCATGCTGGTACTCAGAATGTTCTCTTCAAACGGGAACAGGACCGATCAACTAACTTGGGCGGGTGGTGGGAGAGGTTAGGGAAACATTCGAAACAAACTATAAACGAGAATGAATTTTGGTCTCCCTATTCCAAATACATACAGTAACATGGTAGCACTCACTGTTCGTTCCATCCCGAGTCAGTCACTTTGACTAGATTGGAAACAGGGCGAAATAGGTTTATCAGATACCGTTTAAAACAAAATACACCAAATTCGAAATATTTGGTCATTCCATGCTCGTGAACACAGTCCTAAGCGCTGTCTTCACCCCCCCCCACCACCACCACAACGACAATCATTTTACTTGCCACTTTAAAGTAGACGATTGAAAGCCAAAAAGGAGTTTTTCCACTTTTCAGTTGGGAACAATGCAACACGCAAGGAACAAATAAAGTACACAATATTTATTATCAATGAACATGGAACTTCCCCTTAGATAGTTCACAACTTCTCCCAATGTGTCTGTGCGGCAGCTTTTTTCCTTCACAACGGGAATGCTATGTGATAAGAAGAATCCGAACGGATAGGATACGATAAAAATAGATCGGATGCTGGTTCAAACCACTTCGTCTGTACGAGTTCACTCGTGTGTGTTTGTGTGTGCAATTCTATGTAATTGAAGTTTCTTTCTGCACTATCACTGTGCATCACTGAGTGGAAATGTTTTTACTCGTCCAAATCTTCCGAATTCAACAGCTTGGTATATTGCACATTGCTGCGTAAATCCTCCCGCAGTGCAGTCCCGTATCGATCTATAGACTCCCCACGTCCGGCATGTGTCCAATCAGCCGACGTGCCATGATACTTTGCCGCGATTATCAAACTAACCAGTTGAACGATGGATACGAAAAACAACTGCCAGGCGCACAGAATAGCCGCATACATCACATTGTCATGACTATTTTCGTTCCAGGGTTTCGAAAATGGTGGATTTAGCATAAGGCCACTTTGCCAAAACCATGCTCCAGACAGCATTACAGTGAAACATTTGATCCAGCTAAGCAAAAACTGTTTCCGATTGACCATTTCACCCATGATCGCTGCGGCCGCCAGCACACCAATATAGCTTGCCAAATGACGACATGTGGCCGTCACGTGAGGTTGATCATAAGCTTGAGCCCGCATGCAATACGCTTGGAATACAAAGGGTAATGCATGAATCACATAGTCCAATCCATCTGGCAGATAGACCACAGTTGCCAAAGCAATATCGACTATTCCAGCCATGAGCAAAGCTGTGTAGAACGGATAATATGCGTATTCACGATGTCGACCCAGTGTAATCGTGCCGGCTTCAATTCCCATTCCGATGAAGCACAGAAGCACTTTCACCACACCTTCAATCATCTGATTCGGACAACATCCAGAGCCGTACGAAACTTGGGCAGTGTATCCCCTTTGTCCCACTCCCACAGACGAATAACAATGGCGTAACGCTTGAATCCACCACCACATGCCCAAACCAAGCATAAATGACCCCAGGTATGCATGGCTCATAAACAATCCTTCATTCCCGATCGGGTTTCCGTGATTATGTTGCATCGCATCCGCTGCGGCCGCCATTGTTTCCGTGTGATTCATTTTAGGTCGGGGGCCTGCGCTGACAGTCTGCCACTCGACGAAGCAAGCGGTTGATTGCAGACGTGAATGAGCGTCCTAACAGCTCATCTGTGCGTAACAATCAACTCTGCGTTCTGATTGGTTGATTTTATTTGCACACAAACGAAGATTGTGATTGGTCCACACGTGCGTTCGAAATAGAAGGCTTTGTCACTCACATGCGATACCAGTTTTGGTCTGGATACCAATGTGTTTTGATTACTATCTAACGATAACTAATGAATATGTTTTCGACAAAATGCTTTTGTGCTTGGATTAGTGCATTAATAAAACAGATAATTGAAGTGGTCCCTTTAAGTATATGAAAATTTCGCTGTATTTGCTAAGTAAACTCGGGAATTGTCTAAGAACGGAATTAACTCTGTTGTTGCTCATCCCAGCAAAATCTCGCTGATAGAAGGAAATTGAAAATCAAGGACACTATTTAAACAGCGTCAACGAGCATTACTGGTTCGGTACCGTCACCAAAATGCATGAGTTCAATCGATACTGACTCAATTGATTCATTTACCGTTTCGTAACTAGGATTGATTAAGTCAATTGTAAAATTTAGTGACATTCGCCTGCTTTGGTTTTTGATTCAAGACATTTAGGAGGACGCATTGTTTTAGTATGAACTCTTCAAGGAATACAGTGGAAAGTCGTTTAGATGATGCCAGTCAAGACTCGGTTTGAATGAAATATTTTTCGAGGTGGGGTTGCTTCCTTAATTAGATCATTCGGTGAAGTTGCACGAATGATGTTAGTAAAGACTTCTGATTGGTGGGTATCTTGAATGGACAACCACCGCTGTACGAAAGTTACCAGTAATTCTTGTTCCACAGTTCGCGAAAACCAAACGTTTTCTCGAGTTTTCATCAAGTTGTATTGTATCAAGTTGTATCGTCACGCAGAAATAATAATAATGATAATAATAATAACGAAAGGTAAAGAATGTCGGTGTTATTTGTTTCATGTACAAAACTTTTGACGTAGTTCATTTGAGACCTGTTGCTTTTGGTAAGGAGTCCGGCCAGGTAGGGTACAGGGGAATTTTTATAAATGTTAATGCGAGGGGGTAGATGAATGGGATGATGTGCATTTTTTGCCATACAGTCTTCGAGAAAATGGTTTTAATGCAGCCAACAGAACCAGAGAATACAACTTTCCAATCTTTTCATCTTCAATCAGTAGGTATATAAAAATCCAGGAATAGTGGATAGGGGGTTAATTGATTGTAATGTGTACCGCCAGAAACGAGGCTGTCGTTCAGATATGCATGGACAGATAGTCGTTTGGAAAACCCTCTGTACCATCTGTCCAGTTCTTCCTCTCACTCCCGTGCATGGATAAACGGAATAACGTTTA